TTTAACTGATGGTTTTACACTTTATATCTTCACTATTAATTATATTTTTATGCTAAACTAACTTGGTCATGAGAGACGATTTTCCATGTCTTCAATCTGAACTTCTTGATTAGGCTAATCCTGCAAACAGAAAAGTAAGTTAGCAGAGCATCAGCTGTATATTTAACAAAACAGAAGCCCTCCAAATTATGAAAGCAGGGATGAGAGCTCAAGGTTCTTAGTGTCTTTCATAAGCTACTGAAGGCATCCTGTCATCAACAAAACTTTAACTCTACCCTTGTCATAACTGAGAAAAGACAGGGCATATGGGCTTCTAAGGACAGAACCCTGAAGAAGAAAAACAGCCACTATGGTACTAGCTTCATCAAAGACTTCTGATCATCTTAGACATGGAATCTCTTCATTTCACAGTTCAACCACCTGAAAGAATTAACTTCTCCCTTATCTGCTACCTAAATAAAGGTGGGCAAATGAAAATAAACATTTAAATAGATGGTGAATTCTTAGGTTGACAGGAGGAAGTTACACAGAAACAAGTTGACTACTAATATTTCAGAGAGCCTAAATCTCAGAGTTCCACTGAGAAATTTAATGAACTTTTCTCTCATGTAAGATGCGTAGAATGCCAATAATACACCAGACTTTAGTGAAAACGGAATGTAATTTTACATTCATAGCCTTAAAGCTAGATCATTCACATGCAGTAACCACAAAAGATTTGGCACACTAATCTATACCTGCTAAGGAAGAATCAAATTCTGAATATAAATGGTAAAAGCTTAAGATAATGACTAGAAATCTCTGGAATAGCTCCTTTTTAGAGTAATTTAAACAAAAACTGCTCTAACTTGTCAGTTTAATTTATTAAACACAGACTCTCTAAGCTCTACAGGGTTCAGGAGTACCATTCAGTGAATTGAGCAGATCCAAGTTCAATCGTGGATTGATGTATCACCTACCATTTGCAAATCTGCACTGTTTCAGAACCTCGCTGAAACCCTCACAAAGCTTAAGGTCACTCTGGTTCTGGGCACACTCCAAAAACTGTTTCAT